ATATATATATTACCGTAATTTATTTCATCTCCCCCTAGACCATTCGAATTAGGAACATGAGTCTTTGGTGCATGGGTGGGCTACATTAGTGTGACTTGGGGTGTGGCCGTCCCTAGGGGGTGGAGTGATTAGTGGTTTGTCAGGCAATGAAGCTGATTCCATAGATTGCACTTAAGATTCCTTGCAGAGTTGGAACGACCCAGCTAGTACTACATCCTATGTGTGAATCTGATGGCGGTCTTCGAGTTAGGAAGGAAGGGTAAATGTAGAGAAAGCAGCAAACAGTACTAAATAACAGACCTTCAGTCGTATTCTTGAATATAGGTCAAGTTAATTAAAACCCATTCAAGACCCTATACTCTCAGGAATCCTAGGGTCCAAGTCCCATTGTTCTTTAACATAAAACACACATGTTGATTACTGCTCTTGGGAAATAAGCATTTTTGTTTTGTGTTAAGACACAACAGCAGTTAAACGCTAGGATTCCTGATCGAGTGTGTGTGGCCTTGAATTAGTTTTTAATTGGATTCCATGACCTATATTTATGCATATGGCTGGAAGTCCATTTAGTTCTGTATGTGCTTCTGCTGTTCTCTACATTTCTCAAGGACCCATGCACATTCATTAAAATGACTGGTTCATCAATCTCCGTTTCATGTTCCTTAAAATTTAAGGGTATAGATGGCAGAAATAAAGTTGTGAAAAATAGAATCAACCAGCCCCGGGATAGCCACACCTGAATTAAATATCATACTAACATTCCCGGAAACCTATGCATATCCTCAGTGGTAAGCTTATCAGCCCGTAAGGTTTCATGTCCCCAACTGTAATGGTGTAAGGGTAGAAGCACGAATAACGATGTTAAATTTAAAATCAACCTCCCCAGGGACGGCCACACCCAATGTCACAAAAACCCAGAAGGACCCATACACATCCCCAAAGACAGATGTTTCAATCCCCATAGCCTTACGTTCCCAGCTTTATTGGTCTACGGATAGATATAGCAGGAATAACAATGTCAATAAGACTCAACCGCTCCCAGGACCCCCCCCCCCCCCAAAAAAAAAAAAAAAAAAAAAAAAAAAAAAAAAAA